TCTCTCTTTCCCTCTCCCTTCTCTCTCTCTAAAATCAATAAAAACATTTTTTAAAAGAATGTATTATTTGTTATTTAATAGATAAAATGACTGTTTTGATAAGTCCCCAATTCAGTGTCAAGCATTTCTGTCACTGACAAGGGCAAGATAAAAATGCAAAAGAATCATGAATATCACCAGAACAAAATTAATTTAACTAGGTAAGGAATAATCTAAGCAATCTTTTATCTTAAAGGTAAATATTTTAATTTGTCTATATAGTTAGCATTGGATCTTTCTGAATAATAATGAAGCTTTTTTCTTCTTTTTAAGTTATGGGTCCATAATCACAAAATTTAAATTCCCATAGTGTAGCACAAATACCAATGCTTTTAAGAGGTTTACTTGTATCAGTTGAAATGGAAGATTCAAATTATCTTAAAAGTTAGTAAAGGCAGTACTAAACTTTTCAAAAAGATTTAGGTTGAGTGCTTTGGTGCGATACCTCTTGGCCACAGATGGCTTTAGGAGCTTGGGGCTGGAAATTAGCAGAGGGAGAGTCAGGGTGCAGCACTATAAAGCTAATTAGTGCCTGACAGTGTAGCCTTGGCTAATTTTCAGTCGGGCACTAGCTCTCAGGTTAACGCTTTCTTTCCTTTAATCATGGAGATGAAAGATGCCGACAGCTCCCTTTCCATTCAAGCACCATCTTCAAGGGGGTAGTGGGTGGGGATGAAAAGGGCGTTTCCGCTGCTTTTGTGCTGGAAGTGAGCAAACAGTTCTTTTGTGATTTTTACTACTAAGGGTGGGAAAATAGAAAAAGGGTTAAAGGCTCTTTCTTAAATACTTCTCTGTGCACTTTTTTTCTTTCTTTCTTTCAAATGGAAAGACATTGCTGTACCCAGATACTAATCAGTTTGGGGGCACCAGTCACTTCAGAAAGAAAAAAGAAAGAACTTGGGCTAGCATGTGAAAGGAGACTCCTTGGTTAAAGAGCAGAATTCTCCAGGTAGAGAGAAAGGAGAGGAGGGGGTAAGAGAAAGAACCGGAATGCTCACTGTTTATCACTGTTAGCCTTCTCAGGGAAGACTTCAGCAAGGACATTTCCAGGGAGGAGACTGACATGCTAAGCAGCAACAGTTGGGAAGAGGAATTCCCATGTCTCTGGGCCACCTAGCTATAGGAACTGGTCTCACCCTGGCCGGTTTGGCTCAGCGGTTGGAGCGTCGGCTTGCGGTCCAGAGAGACCCGGGGTTAGGTTCCCGCTAAGGGCACGTACATTGGTTGCAGTTTGTCCCCGGCCCTGGTTGGTCGTGCGGGTGGCAACCACTCGATGTGTCCCTTTCACATTGATGTCTCTCTCTCTCTCTCTCTCTCTCCCTCCCACTCTATCTGAACAAAGAATGGAAAAATGTCCTTGGGTGAGGATAAAAAAAAAGGAAAGAAACTGGTCTCAAGTAGTCACTGGCTTGGAACTGGGCTAGATGAGTTGGAAACTGCCCATACAGTATAGTTAGGAAGCATCTGAAGACAAAAATTCCTGGAAGCTGAATTCTTTAAAAATTTTTTTCTTTTTATTTGTTTATTGTTTATTTATTTATTGTGAATCCTCACCTGAGGATATTTTGGCACTGGTTTTTAGAGAGAGTGGCAGGGAGGGAAGGAGAGCGAGAAAGAGAAACACTGATGTGAGAGAGACATATCGACTGATTGCCTCCAACATGACCCCGACCAGGGCTAGGGATAGAACCTGCAACCCAGGTACCTGCCCTTGACTGGGAATCAAACCCTCAACCTTTTCATCCGTGGGCTGATGTTCTAACTGCTGAGCCAAATCAGCCAGGGCTCTTCCAGGTTTTTATGGTTTCACAACTTACATTTAATTCTTTCACTCATTTTGCTTTTATTCTTATATATGGTGCAAGTTGGTGGTCTAGTTTCTTTTTTTTGCATATATTTGTCCAATTTTCCCAACACCATTTACTCCATTGTATATTCTTGCCTCCTTTGTCAAATATTAATGGAGCATAATGTCTTGGGTCGATGTCTGGGTTCTCTGTTCTGTTCCATTGATCTTTATGCCTGTTCCTGGGCCAGAACCAGTCTGTTTTGCTTACAGTGGCTTTGTGGAATATAACTTGATATCTGGTAATGTGATCCCTCCTACTTTGTTCTTCTTTCTCAAGGTTGCTGCAGCTATTTGCGATCTTTTTTGGTTCCTTATAACTTTTTGGAGTATTTGTTCTAGATCTGTGAAATATGCCATTTGTATTTAAAATTTTTTAAAAGAAATTTTTTTCTTTATTGATTTGAGAGAGAGATGAAGGGAGAGGGAGAAAGAGACAGAAACATCGATGGGCCACCTCCTGCATGCCCCCCACTGGGATTGGGCCCACAACCTGGGCATGTGTCCTGACTGGGAATCGAACTGGCAACCTCTTGGTGGATGGGTCGATGCTCAACCGCTGAGCCACACCAGCTGGGGCATGCCATTGCTATTTCAATAGGAATTGCATTGAATCTAGATTGCTTTAGCTAGTATAGACATTTTAATGATATATGTTCTTCCACTTGTTTGCATCTTCCTCTCTTTTTTCAAAGTCTTATAGTTTTCCAAGTACAGGTCTTTTACCTCCTTGGTTAAGTTTATTCCTAGGTATCTTATTTTTTTGTTGTAATGGTAAAAGGGTTTTTTTTTTTTTTAGTTTCTCTTTCAGAGGGATCATTATTGGTGAATAAAAATGCCATTGACTTCTGGATGTCAATTTTGTATCCTGCTACATTGCCGAATTCATTATCAACTCTAGTTTTTTGGTGGATTCTGTAGGGTTTTCTATGTATAGTATCATGTTGCCTGTGAATAATGACAATTTTGCCCTGGCCAGTGGTTAGAGTGTCGGCCTGTGGACCAAAGGATTGTGGCTTTGATTCCTGGTCAAGGTCATGTACCTGGGTTGTGGGTTCGACCCCCGGCCCTGGTCAGGGTCATGCAGGAGGCGACCAATCATTGTGTCTCCCTCACTTCGGTGTTTCTCTCTCTCTCTCTCCCTCCCTGTCTGAAAATCAATGAGAAAAGATCCTTGGGTGAGGATTAACAAACAAACACACACACAAACAACAAAAATGAGTTTTACTTCCTCCTTTCCAATTTGAATGCCTTTTATTTTTCCTTCTTGTCTGATTGCTATGGCTAGGACTTCCAGTACTGTGTTGAATAAGAGTGGTGAAAGAGGACATCCCTGTCTTGTTCCTATTCTTAGGGGAAACCCTTCGTTTTTTTCCCCATTATGTTGTTGGCTTTAGGTTTGTCATATATGACCTTTATTATTTTGAGGTATGATCCCTGTTCCCACTTTGGTGAGTTTTTTTTTTTTTTTTACCAAAAATGGGTGCCAGCCCAGCTGGTATGGCTCAGTGGACTGAACGTCACCCCATGGACTGTGAGGTCCTGGTTTGATTCCTGGTCAGGGCACATACCCAGGTTGCAGGCTTGATCCCCAGCAGGGGGCGTGCTGGAGGTAGCCAATTGACATTTCTCTCTCACATCAATGTTTCTCTCTCTAAAATAAGAAAATGGGTGCTGGATTTTGTCGAATGCCTTTTCTGTATCTGTTAAGATCATGTGATTTTTTAAAAAAATAATCTTCACCCAAGGACATTTTTGCATTCATCATCAGATAGAGCAGGAGGGAGAGAGGAAGGAAGAGAGAAACATCTATGTGAGAGAGTCCCATCGAGTGGTTGCCACCCACATGACCCCAACCGGTGCAGGGGACAAACTGCAACTGAGGTACATGCCCTTAGTGGGAACCAAACCAGGGACTCTCTGGTCCGTGGGCCGATGCTCGCTTAGCCAAACTGGCCAGGGCAAGATCATGTGATTTTTTATCCTTTATTTTGTTAATGTGATGTATTACATTTATTGACTTGAAAATATTGTAGTAGCCTTGCATTCCTAGAATAAATCCCACTTGGTCACTGTGTATGATCCTTTTAATGTATTGCTGGATCCTATTTGCTAGTATTTTGTTGAGGATTTTAGCATCTATGTTCATCAGGGATATTGGGCTATAATTTTCTTTCTTATTGTCTTTATCTGGTTTTGGAATTAGGATAATGCTGTCCTTGTAAAAAGAGTTTGGGCCCTGGCTGGTTTGGCTCAGCAGTTAGAGTGTTGGCCCGCAGACCAGAGTAGCAGGTTTGATTCTGGTCAAGGGCAAGAAACTTGGTTGTGGTTCATCCCCTACCCTGGTTGGGGTTATGCAGGAGGCAACCAGTCGATGTGTCTTTTTCACATCAATGTTTTTCTCTCTGTCTCTCCCTCTTCTTCCCATTCTATCTGAAGATAAATAGAAAAATATCCTTGGGTAAGGATTAAAAAAAAGAAAAGAGCTTGGAAGTCTTCTTGAATTTTTTGGAATAGTTTGAGGATAGGTGTTGGTTCTTTGAATGTCTTCCCTCTGTCAAACCCTGAGCCAATCACTTTCCCCAGGTTGCCTGGGAGATATAGGAAAAGGAACATACCGGGCAGATGAGACACAGGAGAAAGAACTATGGGAGGTGGAGAGAATTTCACATGGTAAAAAAGGAAAGGCATCAGCAGGCAAAAGAGCCCCATGGCCTCTGAGAGGGCAAAGCCCAGAATGTCGTAGGAGAGCTGTTGCTTCAGGGAAGGGGTCCTGGCATAACTAGTGATGAGGCTCCTAAACCCGGTCCCAGAGCCTGCCACCCCTACTGTGGCAGCTCCAGACCCCAAGAACTTGGCTGCTGTGTCGCTGTCCATTGAAACGGTACTGGTTTGGAAGCTGCAGCAGGAAAAAGTGAGGTCAGGGGACGTGGGGCAGCTGAGGCTTTCTCATCGGTCAGTCTCTGTCATTTCAGCATCACTGTAGATAGTTACCCACTCAGCAGCTGAGAGGTGATCCTGGCCAAGGAGGGGGTGCAGACAAACCTGGCACAAGCATATGTTTTCAGGGGACGAGGGGAGCTGCTTCCAATGCAGAAAACACAGGGAGGGCAGAAGTTGAATTCTTTATTGACAGAATCAATAAAACATTCATGGCAGAGCTGGCCACAAGGACCCAACACAGCACACTGTGACATTCAATCGAGACCTATTTCAATGCAGCTCCTTTTGATTCCTTCAATTTGTACAGTGATTACAAAGGGCTTCTATATGAAAATTACCTTACTCCTATCACCCCTATCCACACAATTTTTGGAGACAACTTGTTTTAAATTTTTAAAAAGATGATAGGCTAAAAGACAAAAAATAATAAATAAAAATAAGCTATCAGGCCTTAAAATTATTCATTCTCTTTTTTGAACATTTTACTTAAGTACTTTATTAGAGCTACTAGCTCAGGGTTCCCACCAAGTGCATCAATTTGCTTATAGGCTTCCGATTCAAGCTCTTTAAGAGTATTTCTAGTGTATTCAAAAGAACCTACATTCTCAAGATAATGTACACAGTATTTTTTAATATCTATGTTTTCGGTTCTCTGACGTAAGATATTCTGCACTTGGGTGCTTTCAGGCCTCAACCAAATAGCATGAATAGTAGGGAACGAGAACTTTCCCTCTGTTAGATCTTCACAAAAGCTTTTGTTTTCACTATATTCTTTGGAGTGTAGATTAGCATAATCATCTCTAATTTGGAAAAAGAGCCCAAGTGTATCAAGTAGTGGCTTGAAATCTTCTTTGTAATCAGAGAATAACTGCATGAGACCTACTGCCAATCCAAAGAGTCCGCCTGTCTTTTGCTTTACCATAGCTTTATATTCTTCTTCAGTGGGACAAATGTAGTTATCCCTCCAATAAATATCTAGGCCTTGTCCCTGATGGAGTTCCAAAAGCTGGCGAGTAAAAAGTTTTACTGCATCTGGGTGATTAAGCGTTAAGACTTTTTCTAGGCCAAGAAAATACACGTAATTGGCAGAATTGATGACAGAGGGAATCCCATAGATGCTATGCGCCACTGGAAAGCCACGTCGGAGTTTTGAGTTATCTTCAATATCATCGATGAGTAAACTGGAATTATGCAACATTTCCGTCACTTCAATGATAATCTAACAAAAAGACAATTGAAAATTTCAATTTTTTATTCATATTTGAACTATTGTATTAATAGATTATGAGGTTCTCAGATGTCTTAATTTTAAAAACTAGTAATTATTTAGCAACATCAATAAAAAACAATATAATGCATAAGTATTAACGAAATTAAGTATTAGGAGTATTTTTATGTGACTTCATAAATTTCTTGGGGATTAAGAATGAGATTAGAGGCCCTGGCCAGGTAGCTTAGTTGGTTACAGCATCGTCCCAATATATCAAAGTTTTGGGTTCAATCCCAGCCAGGGCACATACAAGAAGCAACCAGTGTATGCATAAGTAAGTGAAACAACAAATCGATGTTTCTCTCTCTCTTTCTCTACCCAAAGCAAAAAAGAGGGGGGAGGGAGTTAGAATTGCCTAGATACCTGAAGCTTATCTTCTGGAACTTTTAGCCAATGATTAAACGCCTGTGAAAGTTTGGTTCTCACTTGTTTACCTGCAATTAAAGAATAAAATTTGGCAATAAAATTAATACTTTAATTATTTAAAAAATTCAGAAATTTACTCTAAACTCCAACTTGATAACTCCCGTTATCGATTAATCCATTATCCACTGTAGAGCTTGCCTTCCACTGCTGGGCCCCTACTGGCCCCTTCTGTCAAAATTCACATTCCAAAAGGCACAACCTAAAACAGGGCGAAAGAGATTCTAGAGTACTTCAGCAGCCCACTACTTTCATCTTAACTTGTACGAACAATTTTGGAAAAGAACAAGGGTTTTAGCAATTATGATCTAATTCATTCATTTTGAAAAAGATGCCAGTCTAGTGAGTGCCAGTTAATTAGCACTGTCAATTTCAGAGAACATAAATATTTTTAATGAAATGTATGTTGCTATTGAATTACCTCATACAATTACCTCTTAAAATTATCTAGCATTCCTTTAAATTAAGGTTTTAGAGAATGAATAGCTCTGCTGCTTTCCTACCAAAAAGTAAGACTACCATAGCCTGAAGTATTTCCCTTTAACATCCAAGTTTGACCAGGGCCATTAGTTTTCCAATATTATCTATTTCTTACACGAAAAGCTCAAGAGGTCTATTGGTAGTAGTTATCACTAGAAGTCATTTTAGCCCCAATCAAAGGAATGGAAGACAAAAATCACAACCAGTTCATTTAATAAAAATGCTTTGTATGCCCTGGCCGGTTTGGCTCAGCGGTTGAAGCATCGGCCTGCGGACCAGAGAGTCCTGGGTTCGGTTCCCGCTAGGGGCATGTACCAAAAACCAAACCAAACCAAAACAAAACAAAAAAAATGCTTTGTAGGCCCTGGCCTGTTTGTCTAGCGGTTAGAGCATCAGCCCCTTGGACCAATGAGTCGCGGCTTTAAATCCAGTCAAGGGCACATATACCTAGGTTGCGCTCTGGTCCCAGCTCTGGTCGAGGTCCTGCAGGAGGCAACCAATTGATGTGTCTCTCTCACAGAGATGTCTCTCCCCTCTCCCAACTCTATTTGAAGATAAATGGAAAAATATCCTCGGGTTAGGATTTAAAAAAAAAAAAGGCTCTGTAAGCCTCCTGGAAAAGTGAATGCACGTCACATCCGAATTTCAGATTAGGTTTCAGGAAAACAGTTACTACATAAAAAGTTTCAGTAAACAGCGACAGTATTTTCTAAGTCCTATCTATGTTTTCTCTGCACCATTACCCAAACAAATGAATACACAAAAAAATTATCATCATATATCCAAATGGGACAAAGTTTCACTTCCTGTGAGCAGTCTAAAAGGATATCTCAGGGTTCATGAAGCAGTACCTTCTGTCTCCTAACCCTTGCGGTGAACATGGTCTGGGCATTAAATATATACTTTCTTTATATGTTTGACCTACTTTCAAGTTTAACAAAGGTCATTCTGGGCCATATTTATAATGCATAACTGTGCAAAATAACCCTTATTACTTTAAAAAGTAAGTTTAGAAGATGAAGAACACAGACAACGAAAGTGGAGCCATATTTTTCCTCTCACTTCAGAATGTGTGCGGAAAACAGAACAATCAATGGCTTAACTTACAGGTTCTGCAGTTTTAATATTTTTTTCCTCTGACCAGACTCTAGGCTCTGGCTTGGTACTTTAAGCCCCCAAATAGTTTCTATTAGAGGCTAGCCACAAAGATCCTTGAAAAGTAAAACAATTATTGTTTTCTTTTTATTTTTTATTATTTATTTATTTATTATCCTCACTCGAGGACGTTTTTCCATTTTTTGTTCAGGTAGAGCGGGAGGGAGAGAGAGGAACAGAGAGAGAGAGAAACATCAATGTGAAAGAAACACATCGAGTGGCTGCCACCCGCACGACTGACCAGAGCCGGGGACAAACTGCAACTGAGGCACATGCTCTTAGCGGGAACCGAACCCGGGTCTCTCAGGACCGCAGGCCGACGCTCTAACCGCTGAGCCAAACCGGCCAGGGCTATTGTTTTCTTTTTAAGACCTTAAAATGATCAACTCTCTCTGCAGTCCCTCTTCTTCCTCCACTCCCAACCCCACATGCTACCTCCCACTACAAAGACCTGGGGACCTACACTAGGGCAAATAAGCAAACAGTAACTTCACTAATTTCAGAAAATCCTAATATCAACAATTATTAACTGTAATCTTTTATCAGCAAGAGTTACCTTTATAACAATAAGTGGTCTGGTCCACCCCTATGTCACTTTAATAATCCTGAAGCTCTCTGTGAAAAATAGGTTTATTATTTGCATAATACAATTTCCTATTTCTTTAGGTTATATTCTATCATGAATGCAAGAGTATATTTGATTTTAAAAAGGTGAGATATCGCTCTGGCTGGTTTGGTTCAGTGGTTAGAGCGTTGGCCTGCAGACCAGAGAGTCCTGGGTTCGGTTTCCGCTAAGGGCACGTACCTTGGTTGCAGTTTGTCCCCGGCCCCTGTTGGGGTTGTGTGGGTGGCAACCACTCGATGTGTCTCTCTCACATGGATGTTTCTCTCTCTCTTTCTCCCTCCTGCTCTGTCTGAAGATATATGCAAAGATGTCCTTGGGTGAGGATAAAAAATAAAAAAATAAAAATAAATAAAAAAATAAAAAGGTGAGATATCTAATGACAGTTATATTTATTTAATTTTCAAAAATAACTTTATTCACAACACATTAAAAAAATACACAACTCTCACCCTCTGAAAATGAGCTAAAAAGAATAAATGAAATCCACCTCCATAGGTTTGTGCTCACTTCCTCCCATTCCCTTCAAATGTAAGGGGGAAAAAAGGCAAAGAAAAAAATCCCCCAAAAACTGAAAAATAAAAACACTCCCAATGCCCTGGCCAGTTTTGCTCAGCGGTTAGAGCATCGGTCTGCGGTCCAGAGAGACCCGGGTCTGGTTCCCACTAAGGGCATGTACCTCGGTTGCAGTTTGTCCCCAGCCCTGATTGATCGTGCGGGTGGCAGCCACTTGATGTATCTCTTTCACGATGATGTCCCCCCCACTCTGAACAAAAAATGGAAAAATGTCCTCGGGTGAGGGTAAAAAACAAAAAACAACACTTCCAAACATCCCCAAACATGGCAGTATATTTCCCCAAAGGGAAGGGGAATTTATACTGGAGGTGCTGGGAGCTAAGGACATCTTCTGACTGTAGAAGGCAGCAAAGAAAGACTCAAAACAGAAAAATACAAAAGGAAACAAAGTACGTCACCAATCTAGAAGGGCAGGGAGCCAGAAAAGAGGGGTGGGGTGAGTGGTAGACCTGATAAGACAGGAGCAGGCAGGAGGGATTGTGGGAGTTAGGGAGATGGAGGGAAGATAACAGCTTGGTGTCCTTCCAGAGCTCTGGGCAAACACAAACACAAAAACACTCCTACCATCCATGCCCATCTCCCCTTGGGTGTAAAGTGAGACAGGGAGATGGGGACAGCTTGGGCAGTTGAGTCATGGTGACTTCCCAGAGTGGATGAGCAGCCTTGGGTCTTCCCCTACTCCCCAGAGCAGGTCCCTCCTGAGCAGTTAGTTATGGGAGTCTCCTCCCTTCCACAGTATACCTTTTTTTTAAATATTTTTTTTCCCATCAAAATCATCTTCTGTTTTTAAAAATGTCATCTAATGGCTTTAAATCGTACTTCCAGATAATGAGGATTAAAGAAGTTTTACAGAAGAGGCTAATTACATAAGGTAACCATTAGGGTTAAAATCTAACAATAGGTAGTCCAGTAGGGGAGTGCCTGGAGTAGGAGATAATTCTTTTGACTCTTGTCAGCATTGATGACTGATTCCAGTGTTTGCCAACTTGTTACAAAAGAAGTCCACCAACAGGTGGGTAGAAAGCAGGAGAAACAGTGCCATGTTTCTCGGTGGAAGACCATGAAAACAGTGAAGCTCTACCTGCTGAATGTCATTCGAAACCGGTCTCTTGGCTTTTTCTTAAACAGCAGGCAACTTTCTCTCTACATTCTTTACATTTCTGTCTTCCCTTCATTCTTTTGAAGCACTGACATTAGCAGGTGAGTTTCCATTAGGGTCTATGCATTTAAAAATGACACTACGGTCCTGGCCGGTTTGGCTCAGCGGTTAGAGCGTCAGCCTGCGGTCCTGAGAGACCCGGGTTCGGTTCCCGCTAAGGGCGCGTACCTCGGTTGCAGTTTGTCCCCGGCCCTGGTCGGTTGTGCGGGTGGCAGCCGCTCGATGTGTTCCTTTCACATCGATGTTTCTCTTTCTCTCTCTGTTCCTCTCTCTCCCTCCCACTCTACAAAAAAAAAAAAAAAAAAAAAAATGACACTACGCACAACTGTTTTTTTCCAAGGTGTTGTTAGGGAGGTTCCATACTTCTGGCTTTGATAACCATATTTATCCTCCCTGGACTCATGAAGAATAGAAATGCACATACTACCACTGAGGTGCACCCACAAAGAAAGGTGTGTAACATACCACAGAAATGAAAACGTGTTTATTGTGATTGAGTTGAGAACATCAATGGACTATAGTTTAGCCACATTCAGGTTTTTATGGTGGTTAACTTATCACCTTTTATATTATTTCTATAAAAAAGAGTATTTCAAGCCCTGGCTGGTTTGGCTCAGCGGTTAGAGCGTTGACCTGCGGTCCGGAGAGACCCGGGTTCGGTTTCCGCTACGGGCAGGTACTTCGGTTGCAGTTTGTCCCCGGCCCTGGATGGTCGTGCGGGTGGCAGCCACTCGATGTGTCCCTTTCACATCGATGTTTCTCTCTCTCTCTCCCTCTCCCTCTCCCTCTCTCTCCCCCTCCCCTCCCTCCCTCCTTCCCTCCCACTCTATCTGTACAAAAATTGGAAAAATGTCCTCGGGTGAGGAAAAAAAAAAAAAAAGGAGTATTTCAAGGTTTCAAGTAATTTGTTTATAAATGAATTTTATTATAAGAACTTGCACTTAGTATATGTATGAATTTTTACTATTATTATCGTTCCAAAGTTAAAACAAATAGTAAAGTAAAATATGCAAATGGACATAAACAAGATTAGGCAAATGTAAACTGTAGGAAGCCATGTCCAGGTGGCTCATCTTTATACAGGAATAATGTGGGTGATGCTTTTAAGCAACGTGATTTCGATGCATTACTATTTGGCTCTTGAACTAGCAGTGAGAAAAATGGAGTATGTGTGTGTGATGGTGGAAAACATGAACATGGAAGGTAAGTGAAGCTTTTTGTTGTACAAATTGGCATAGCTTTCCTTAATCTATACAGTGGGGAATAGGAAAGTGTGGCGTCCATAAATAATAAAACCTCCAAAAAGGTACTCAGATGTTTTAAGTATATTTATATTTTTAGGTATGTTATCTACTTGGGTATTTTTTAATGGGTACCTAAAAAATGTCCCTTTTATGAGCAAAGAATCATTTTTCTCATATGTATGAACTTAAAGAGAAAAATCTCAAGAGCTGGTAAACCTAACCTTTTCTGTATGCTAACATTTGAATGACCACAATCTCATACACTGTATGGATGATAACTGAAGTGCTACCTGGTAATTGCAGCAAGTACTTGTAAGGTTCCAGAAGAATTCTTTGGACTGTTTCTTGAGTCCTCTCCATTGTTGTTGAATTTCAAAGCCGATCTGTTAAAAAGAGAAACATAAATATGATCTCAGTAACTAAATTATCTTTGAGTATCAAACTGCAAAAGAATTTGTATCTTAAGGTTTTTTTTCTTTTTGGTTAATCCTCACCTGAGGATATTTTTTCCATTTATTTATTTATTTGTTTGTTTGTTTACTTATTTATTTATAGTGGAAGGGAGGGAGGGAGGGGGAGAGGAAGAAAGAGAAACACTGATGTGAGAGAGACCCACTTATGGGTTGCCTCCCACATATGCAGATTGGGGCTGGGGATCGAACCTGTAGCCCAGGTAAGTGTCCTTTGGGAATTGAAATCACTACTCTTTGGTTCTAGGGCCGATGCTCTAACTGCTAAGACAAACCAGCCAGGGCCCTAATTGTATATTTTAAATAAGTGAACTGCCCTGGCAGGTTTGGCTCAGCGGATAGAGTGTCCGCCTGTGGACCAGAGAATCCTGGGTTCGGTTCCCGCTAAGGGCACATACCTCAGTTCCAGTTTGTCCCCAGCCCCGGTTGGGGTTGTATGGGTGGCAACCAGTCGATGTGTCTCTCTCACATTGATGTTACTCTCTCTCTATTCCCTCCTCTCTCCCTCCTGCTCTATCTGAAGATAAATGCAAAAATGTCCTAGGGTGAGGATAAAAAAAAGGTAAAATGAAGAGTTTTTTTTAAAGATTTTTTTTTCCTTTATTGATTTTAGAGAGAGAGAATGTGAAAGGGAGAGAGAGATAGAAACATCAATGAGAGAGAACAGTGACTGGCCGCCTCCCGCATGCCCCCAATGGGGGTCAGGCCCACAATTTGGGCATGTGTCCTGGCTGGGAATCAAACCAGGGACCTCTTGATGCATGGGTCAATGCTCAACCACTAAGCCAATCCAGCCGGACAAGAGTTTCTTTGAAAAATAAAATAAGGGGAGATTCAAAAATGGCGGCAGAGTGAATGGAAGCTACATAGACCATCTACCAGGACCAAACTGGAATTACAACTAAAATAAAGACAAATCGTCAGGAAAAAGCAACAGAATAGCAGCTTGCCAGGACCATATAACCAGGGACACTGACTCGATCCTGGTAGGATTGCGGAGGTGCAAGACGAGGGCTGGGAGCCCACAAACAGCAGTGGTCTGAGCTGTGAGCAGCGCCCTTGGGTTAAACTCTCAAGTGGCTTCACAGCGCAGAGCCAGGACAGATGCTGAAATAGCCACAGCCACTCACCTTGAGTTCCGACACAGGGAGGGCAGACTGGACTGGAACTGTGTGGGGACACTTGGGATTTAGAGGGTGCTTAGAGTTTTTGCTGAGTTGCGACCACCCAGGACAGTGGCCATTTTACTCCTTCCTAGGGCTCTGGGGAGAGGCGGCGGCCATTCCCTCGGAGATTCAACCCAACCCGATGGGCCATTAAAATGCAAATTGAGGCCCATTAACAACCAGCATCTGCCCCACCCTCGGTAATCCCCTTAAACTGAGCACCTGAGAGAGTTTTTCATTCAACTGAGAACCCAAAGCTCTTCAAGTAACTGTGACAAATAACCTCCAGGCAAAAGGCTAAAGGATAACTGAACCTTTCCTGGGACTGCAAATCTATCCAGGAAAGGAAGACTTGACAGTAGTGTTTAACATGGGTCCTCCCATGCTCATTCAAATGCAGTAGAGGGAGCCACAAAAACAGAACACCAATACCCACAGGGAAAATTTGGAAGGCTCCAAAGCCCACTGAGATAGCCAAAATGGTGAAACACAGAAACAAATGCCAAATGAAAGAACAAGAGACCTCTACAGAAGATGAGATAAATGAGGTGCAGTTAAGCAAGTTAACAGAGCTAGAATTCAGAGCCATGATCTTGAGGAAGGTCAACAGCATGAGTAAGGACATCAACACCATGAGTAAAGGCATAGAAATATTGAAAATCAACCAACTGGAAATTAAAAACCACCAAGAAGAAATCAAGAATGACACAGCAGAAATAAAGAACACATTGCATAGTCTAAACAGCAGAGTAGAGGAAGCTGAGGACTGGATCAGTGAATTAGAAGACAGGGTAGAAAAAATCAACAAATCACAAAACCAAAAAAAACCCCAAAAAAACAGGAAGAACCCTGGCTAGTTTGGCTCAGTGGTTAGAGCGTCGGCCTGCGGACCAGAGAGTCCCAGGTTCGGATCCCACTAAGGGCACGTTCCTTGGTTGCAGTTTGTCACCGGTCCTGGTTGGGGTTGTGTGGGTGGCAACCACTCGATGTGTCTCTCTCACATCAATGTTTCTCTCCCTCTCCCCTGCTCTCTCCTTTCCTTTCTATCTGAAGATAAATGCAAAAATGTCCTCAGATGAGGATAAAAAACAAAAAAACAAAAAACAAAACAGGAAGACAGCTTAAGAGAAATGTGGGACAACTGGAAATGTAATAATATTCACATCATAGAAGTCCCTGAAGAAGAAGAAAATGAGCAAGGGTTAGAAAATATATTTTAAGAAATAGTGACAGAAAACTTCGCTAATTCAGTGAAGGAAGAAGGCATTCAAGTTCAAGAAGCACAGAGAGCCCCAAGTAAGAAGAACCCAAACAGGCCCACACCAAGACACATAGTAATTAAAATGCCAAAAATTAAAGACAAAGAGAGAACCCTAAAGGCAGCAAGAAATAAGCAACAGGTTACCTACAAAGGAACCCCCATAAGGCTATCAGCTGACTTCTCACAAGAAACACTACAGACAAGAAGGGAATGGCATGAGGTAATCAAGGTCATTAAAAACAAGGATCTGAAGCCAAGACGACTCTACCCAGCAAGGCTATCATTAAAAATAGAAGGTCAAATAAAGAGTTTCCCAGACAAAGAAAGGCTAAGGGAATACATTAACACCAAACCAGCACTGCAAAAAATGTTAAAAGGACTGGAAGAAATAGGAAGAAAAATAATAACCACACTAAACAAAAATGGCAATAAGTAAGTAAATATCAATAATCACTTTTAATGTTAAAGGATTGAACACTCCAATAAAAAGACACTGAGTAGCCATGCCCAGTTTGGCTAAGTGGTTAGAGTGTCGGCCTGCGGTCCAGAGAGACCTGGGTTTGGTTCCCTCTAAGGGCATGTACCTCGGTTGCAGTTTGTCCCCGGCCCTGGTTGGTCGTGCGGGTGGCAGCCACTCAATGTGTCCGTTTCACATCGATGTTTCTTTCTCTCTTCCTCTTTCCCACCCACTCTACCTGAACAGAGAATGGGAAAATGTCCTCGGGTAAGGATAAAAAAACAACAACAACAAAAAAGGACACAGAGTAGCTGACTGGATAAGAAAGCATGACTCATCTATATGTTGTTTACAGGAGACCCACCTCACAACAAGACTCGCATAGGTTGAAAGTGAAGGGTTGGAAAAAAATCTTCCAAGCAAACGGAAAGGAATACTCATATCTGATAAAATAAATTTCAAAATGAAGGCCATAACTAGACACAAAGAAGGCCACTACATAATATTAAAAGGATCTATCCAACAGGAAGACATAACCTTGGTAAACATATATGCACCCAATATAGGAGTACCAAAATATATTAAAAACCTTCTGGAGGACTTAAAAGGAAAAATCGACAGCAATACAATCAAAGCAGGGGACTTCAACACCCCACTGACATCACTGGATAGATCCTCTAGACAAAGACTAAACAGAGAAACAGAGACTCTAAATGAAGCACTAGACCAAATGGATTTAATAGGTATCTACAGAGAGTTACACACCAAAACTACAGAATTCACATTCTCAAAGACAGACCACATGTTAGGACACAAAGCAAGTCTCTACAAATTCAAGAAGATTGAAATCATATCAAGCATCTTCTCAGATCACAATGGCATGAAACTAGAAATCAATTGCAACAGGAACATGCAAAGACATTGGAACATATGGAGGCTAAATAGCATGTTATTAGACAATGACTGGGTTACCATAAAGATCAAGGAAGAAATTAAAAACTTCCTGGAAACCATAGAAAATGAACACACAAAATCTATGGGATGCAGTGAAAGCAGTTCTGAGAGGGAAGTTCATATCACCACAGGCCTACCTCAAGAAGCAAGAAAAATTTCTAATATACTATCTAACCTCACAACTTAAAGAACTAGAAAGCAAACAAAAATAAAACCCCAGAGCAAGTAGAAGGAAGGAAATAGTAAAGATCAGAGCAGAAATAAATGACATGGAGACAAAAAAAAAAATAATTCAAAGGATCAATGAAACAAAGAGCTGGTTTTTTGAGAAGATAAACAAGATTGATAGACTCTTAGCTAGACTCACCAAGAAACTAAGAGAGAGAACCTAAATACACAAAATCAGAAATAAAAGAGGAGAAGTAACAACTGACACCACAGAAACACAAAGAATTGTTAACAAATACTATGAACAATTATATGGCAAGAAACTCGACAATCTAAGCAAAATGGACAAATTTCTAGAAACACACAGTCTCCAAAAACTGGACCGGGAAGAGATAGAAAACTTGAACAGACCAATAACAACTAAGAAATTGAAGATGTAAACAAGACTCTCCCAGCAAACAAAAGCCCAGGCCCAATGGCTTCTCAGGGGAGTTTCACCAAACATTCAAAGAAGAACTCACACTCATTATCCCCAAACTATTTCAAAAAATTCAAGAAGAAGGAAGACTTCCAAACTTGTTTTATGAGGCCAGAATAATTCTAATTCCAAAACCAGAAAAAGATACTACAAAGAAAAAAAAACTACAGGCCAATATCCCTGATGAACATAGATGCCAATATCCTGAATAAAATACTAGCAAATTGGATCCAGCAATACATCAAAAAAATTATTCACCATGACCAAGTGGGATTCATCCCAGAAATGCAAGGCTGGTACAATAGTCGCAAATCAATAAATGTGATACATCACATAAATAAAATGAACAGTAAAAACCACATGATCATATCAATAGATGCTGAAAAAGCATTTGACAAAATCCAGCATCCATTTCTGATAAAAACGCTC